GAGAGTGAGTAGGAACAGCAGCAGCACATGAGAGTGAGAGGAACAGCAGCAGCACTGAGGGAGTAGGAACAGCAGCAGCAGCATGAGAGTGAGTAGGAACAGCAGCAGCATCATGAGAGTGAGTAGGAACAGCAGCAGCAGCATGAGGGTGAGCAGGAACAGCAGCAGCAGCATGAGGGTGAGCAGGAACAGCAGCAGCAGCATGAGGGTGAGCAGACACAGCAGCAGCATAAGGGTGAGAGAACAGCAGCAGCAGCATGAGGGTGAGTCAGGAACAGCAGCAGCAAACATGAGGGAGCAGATAACAGCAGCAGCAGCATAAGGGTGAGAGGAACAGCAGCAGCACATGAGGGTGAGCAGAAACAGCAGCAGCAGCATGAGGGTGAGTAGGAACAGAGCAGCAGCATAAGGGTGAGCAGGAACAGCAGCAGCAGCATGAGGGTGATGCAGGAACAGCAGCAGCAGCATAAGGGTGAGCAGAAAACAAGCAGCACAGCAGCAATGAGGGTGAGACAGGAAACAGCAGCAGCAACATGAGGGTGAGCAGAAACAGCAGCAGCAGCATAGGGTGAGCAGGAAACAGCAGCCAGCAGCATGAGGGTGAGTAGGAACAGCAGCAGCATAAGGTGAGCAGGAAACAGCAGCAGCAGCATGAGGGTGAGTAGGAACAGCAGCAGCATAAGGGTGAGCAGGAACAGCAGCAGCAGCATAAGGGTGAGCAGGAACAGCAGCAGCAGCATGAGGGTGAGTAGGAACAGCAGCAGCATAAGGGTGAGCAGAAACAGCAGCAGCAGCATGAGGGTGAGCAGAAACAGCAGCAGCAGCATAAGGGTGAGCAGAAACAGCAGCAGCAGCATAAGGGTGAGCAGGAAACAGCAGCAGCAGCATAGGGTGAGCAGAACAGCAGCAGCAGCATAAGGTGTGAGCAGAAACAGCACAGCAGCATGAGGTGAGCAGGAACAGCAGCAGCATGAGGTGAGCAGGAACAGCAGCAGCAACATGAGGGTGAGCAGAAACAGCAGCAGCAGCATAAGGGTGAGCAGAAACAGCAGCAGCATAAGGGTGAGCAGGAACAGCAGCAGCAGCATGAGGGTGAGCACGAACAGCAGCAGCATGAGAGTGAGCAGGAACAGCAGCAGCAACATGAGGGTGAGCAGAAACAGCAGCAGCAGCATAAGGGTGAGCAGAAACAGCAGCAGCAGCATAGGGGAGCAGAAACAGCAGCAGCAGCATAAGGGTGAGCAGGAACAGCAGCAGCATGAGAGTGAGCAGGAACAGCAGCAGCAGCATGAGGGTGAGCAGGAACAGCAGCAGCAACATGAGGGTGAGCAGGAACAGCAGCAGCAACATGAGGGTGAGTAGGAACAGCAGCAGCATGAGAGTGAGCAGGAACAGCAGCAGCAGCATAAGGGTGAGCAGAAACAGCAGCAGCAGCATAAGGGTGAGCAGAAACAGCAGCAGCAGCATAAGGGTGAGCAGGAACAGCAGCAGCATGAGAGTGAGCAGGAACAGCAGCAGCAGCATGAGGGTGAGCAGGAACAGCAGCAGCAGCAACATGAGGGTGAGCAGGAACAGCGCAGCACATGAGGGTGAGTAGGAACAGCAGCAGCATGAGAGTGAGCAGGAACAGCAGCAGCAGCATAAGGGTGAGCAGAAACAGCAGCAGCAGCATAAGGGTGAGCAGAAACAGCAGCAGCAGCATAAGGGTGAGCAGGAACAGCAGCAGCAGCATAAGGGTGAGCAGGAACAGCAGCAGCATGAGAGTGAGCAGGAACAGCAGCAGCAGCATGAGGGTGAGCAGGAACAGCAGCAGCAGCAGCATAAGGGTGAGCAGGAACAGCAGCAGCAGCATGAGGGTGAGCAGGAACAGCAGCAGCAGCATAAGGGTGAGCAGGAACAGCAGCAGCAGCATGAGGGTGAGCAGGAACCGCAGCAGCAGCATGAGGGTGAGCAGGAACAGCAGCAGCAGCATGAGAGTGAGCAGGAACAGCAGCAGCAGCATAAGGGTGAGCAGGAACAGCAGCAGCAGCATGAGGGTGAGCAGGAACAGCAGCAGCACAAAGGGTGAGTAGGAACAGCAGCAGCAACATGAGGGTGAGTAGGAACAGCAGCAGCAGCATGAGGGTGAGCAGGAACAGCAGCAGCAGCAGCATAAGGGTGAGCAGAAACAGCAGCAGCAACATGAGGGTGAGTAGGAACAGCAGCAGCAACATGAGGGTGAGTAGGAACAGCAGCAGCAGCATGAGGGTGAGCAGGAACAGCAGCAGCAGCAGCATAAGGGTGAGCAGAAACAGCAGCAGCAGCATAAGGGTGAGCAGAAACAGCAGCAGCAGCATAAGGGTGAGCAGGAACAGCAGCAGCAGCATAAGGGTGAGCAGGAACAGCAGCAGCATAAGGGTGAGCAGGAACAGCAGCAGCAGCATAAGGGTGAGCAGGAACAGCAGCAGCAGCATAAGGGTGAGCAGGAACAGCAGCAGCAGCATAAGGGTGAGCAGGAACAGCAGCAGCATAAGGGTGAGCAGGAACAGCAGCAGCAGCATAAGGGTGAGCAGGAACAGCAGCAGCAGCAGCATAAGGGTGAGCAGAAACAGCAGCAGCAGCATAAGGGTGAGCAGAAACAGCAGCAGCAGCATAAGGGTGAGCAGAAACAGCAGCAGCAGCATGAGGGTGAGCAGGAACAGCAGCAGCAGCATAAGGGTGAGCAGGAACAGCAGCAGCAGCATAAGGGTGAGCAGGAACAGCAGCAGCAGCATAAGGGTGAGTAGGAACAGCAGCAGCAGCATGAGAGTGAGTAGGAACAGCAGCAGCAGCATAAGGGTGAGCAGGAACAGCAGCAGCAGCATGAGGGTGAGCAGAAACAGCAGCAGCAGCATAAGGGTGAGCAGGAACAGCAGCAGCAGCATGAGGGTGAGCAGAAACAGCAGCAGCAGCATGAGGTGTGAGCCAGGAACAGCACGCAGCACATGAGGGTGAGCAGGAACAGCAGCAGCAGCATAAGGGTGAGTAGGAACAGCAGCAGCAGCATGAGAGTGAGTAGGAACAGCAGCAGCAGCATAAGGGTGAGCAGGAACAGCAGCAGCAGCATGAGGGTGAGCAGGAACAGCAGCAGCAGCATAAGGGTGAGTAGGAACAGCAGCAGCAGCATGAGAGTGAGTAGGAACAGCAGCAGCAGCATAAGGGTGAGCAGGAACAGCAGCAGCAGCATAAGGGTGAGCAGAAACAGCAGCAGCATAAGGGTGAGCAGGAACAGCAGCAGCAGCATAAGGGTGAGCAGAAACAGCAGCAGCAGCATGAGGGTGAGTAGGAACAGCAGCAGCAGCATGAGGGTGAGTAGGAACAGCAGCAGCAGCATAAGGGTGAGCAGAAACAGCAGCAGCAGCATGAGGGTGAGCAGAAACAGCAGCAGCAGCATGAGGGTGAGTAGGAACAGCAGCAGCAGCATAAGGGTGAGCAGGAACAGCAACAGCAGCATGAGGGTGAGCAGAAACAGCAGCAGCAGCATGAGGGTGAGTAGGAACAGCAGCAGCAGCATGAGGGTGAGCAGAAACAGCAACAGCAGCATGAGGGTGAGTAGGAACAGCAGCAGCAGCATGAGGGTGAGTAGGAACAGCTGCAGCAGCATAAGGGTGAGCAGAAACAGCAGCAGCAGCATGAGGGTGAGCAGGAACAGCAGCAGCAGCATAAGGGTGAGCAGAAACAGCAGCAGCAGCATAAGGGTGAGCAGGAACAGCAGCAGCAGCATGAGGATGAGCAGGAACAGCAGCAGCAGCATAAGGGGGGCAGAAGCAGCAGCATGAGGGTGAGCAGAAACAGCAGCAGCAGCATGAGGGTGAGCAGGAACAGCAGCAGCAGCATAATCGTGAGCAGAAACAGCAGCAGCAGCATAAGGGTGAGCAGGAACAGCAGCAGCAGCATGAGGGTGAGCAGAAACAGCAGCAGCAGCATGAGGGTGAGCAGAAACAGCAGCAGCAGCATAAGGGTGAGCAGAAACAGCAGCAGCAGCATAAGGGTGAGCAGAAACAGCAGCAGCAGCATGAGGGTGAGCAGAAACAGCAGCAGCAGCATAAGGGTGAGCAGAAACAGCAGCAGCAGCATAAGGGTGAGCAGAAACAGCAGCAGCAGCATAAGGGTGAGCAGAAACAGCAGCAGCAGCATAAGGGTGAGCAGAAACTACAGCAGCAGCATAAGGGTGAGCAGAAACAACAGCAGCAGCATAAGGGTGAGCAGAAGCAGCAGCAGCAGCAGATTCCGCCCTCACTATTAATATACTAAGACAAGGCAATGGAGGCTCCAATTCCTCGAATGAAGAGCCCTTCTTAATTAGCATCCAAACACCTGCCAAGTGAACTGTATGTGTGTGTGTATTCGCACACCTGGTTGTTTCTGCGAGGGATGACCTCTAGCTCTTGGGCCCTGCATGTGTGGCTAACTTACTGCCCTCTTCAGCTCTTATTCTTATTATTATTATTATTATTATTATTATTATTAATTATTATTACTGACACGTTTTCTAGTCAAGTTCATTTTATTTTCTATATTACAGATGTTAACAGGATCCCAAATGGAAATAAATAACTCTGACATTTTTGTGTGTGAGAACGTTATCCTAGGTAATTTGCATACATGTTTCCATGCAGGACGACCATAATCACCCAAAGCTTGTGTCACTGTACTTGTGTAAACTGTGCCTAAATAAACTTACTTCCCAGATCAGGCTCCTTTAGGTTAGTTTACCCACTCTCTTACATTGCGTTTTCTATATCACAGATTATTCCCTAGTTAAGAATATTTACCCACTCTCTTACATCCCGTTTTCTATATCAGATTATTCCCTAGTTAAGAATATTTACCCACTCTCTTACATCCCGTTTTCTATATCACAGATTATTCCCTAGTTAAGAATATTTACCCACTCTCTTACATCCCGTTTTTTATATCAGAGATTATTCCTTAGTTATGTGTATTTACCCACTCACACCCCGTTGTCTTCTCCTTGACAGGGAAGAACGCGACCCTGGACTGCTTCCAGAATGGCTTGTGGTCCAAGAAAGCCAACTACACCGACTGTTTGAACTTCGTGGGCAACAACAGCAGCAAGGACACCTCCACCGTCAACACCATCACTACTATCTTCTACGTGGGTAACTCCCTCAGTCTGGTGGCCGTCCTCCTCGCTCTCTGGATCTTCATCTCATTTAAGTAAGTGTACCGTAGGGGGTATGTACTCACCTAGTTGTGACTCAAAGGGGTCGAGTCCTCGACTTCTACCTGTGTGTATATATATATATATATTAATTATTGTGACCACGAACAAGTGGTATTGATCAATAACATCACTGCGACTAGCCAAGGATTCGAACCCATGCTGCTTTGGCCCGCCTCATGGTGAGCGAAAACCCATGATGCTCTAACCCACAAGACCACGCAATCCTATAATTGCGTGGTCCAGTGGGTTAAAACGTCATGGGTTTTCGCTCACCATGAGGTGGGCCAAAGCAGCATGGGTTCGAATCCTTGGCTAGTCGGAGTGTTATATATATATATATATATATATATATATATATATATATATATATATATATATATATATATATTATATATATATATATATATATATATATATATATATATATGTGTGTGTGTGTGTGTACGAAAGTTGAGAATTATTACATTCATGGGAGAATATATGGAAAGAAGTCAGAAAAAATAATCCAAGAAAATAAATCAGGAGAAAGAAAACAGAATCCAGGGAAAACAATTCAGTAAAAAATGCAACGAAAAAAAATTAATAAATGAGGCTGAAATAAGAGATAAGAAAATGAGCTAAGATAATGAGCCACAAAGTAAAAAATGAGCTAAAGTAAATTGAGCTCAGATAAGAAACTTTGCTGAGATCAAGAAAATGAGTTGAGATCAAGAAAATGAGTTGAGATCAAGAAAATGAGTTGAGATCAAGAAAATGAGCTGAGATCAGGAAAATGAGCTGAGATCAAGAAAATGAGTTGAGATCAAGAAAATTAGCTGAGATCAAGAAAATGAGTTGAGATCAAGAAAATGAGTTGAGATCAAGAAAATGAGTTGAGATCAAGAAAATGAGTTGAGATCAAGAAAATGAGTTGAGATCAAGAAAATGAGTTGAGATCAAGAAAATTAGTTGAGATCAAGAAAATGAGCTGAGATCAAGAAAATGAGTTGAGATCAAGAAAATGAGTTGAGATCAAGAAAATGAGTTGAGATCAAGAAAATTAGTTGAGATCAAGAAAATGAGCTGAGATCAAGAAAATGAGTTGAGATCAAGAAAATGAGTTGAGATCAAGAAAATGAGTTGAGATCAAGAAAATGAGTTGAGATCAAGAAAATGAGCTGAAATCAAGAAAATGAGTTGAGATCAAGAAAATGAGCTGAGATCAAGAAAATGAGCTGAGATCAAGAAAATTAGCTGAGATCAAGAAAGTGAGCTGAGAGGGGGGGGGGAGCTAGGTATATCGCCCACGGTAGTATCTCTCTGGCGCCTCGAAAACTCGCGTTACGTTCCTACAAATGAGGAAAACAAGGGCATTCTCAGCTCCGGCGCTGAGATTACTGATTTCCCCAGGAAACATAGCGTCCTTAATGCCCCCCCTTCCCCCTCCCCACTCCCACCCCCACCCCCCGGGCCCTGAGATTTACATGCGGGGAGGGGGGGGTAGAGACGCAGAGAGAGAGAGAGATAATGACCTGATGTAGGAGATATTTCTTCACTACAAATGGCCTCTGTATATCATCTTCACTATCACCCTCACTATTACTATCACCCTCGCTATCACCATCACTGTCACCTCACTATCACTATCACTATCATTTCCATTACTGCCGTTACTTCTTTAATAGCTATCACCATCACCACCCTATCACCATGGCCCTATCACCACCACCACCACCACCATAGCTACCACAACCAGCATCACCACTTGAAAAAGCCCACTGTGTGGGCGAAACGTTGTCAATAAAGGATCACATTATACTGCATATGTGTTTATATTTCCAGCACCACCACCACTACCATCATCACTATCACGGTCACCCTAATTGTCCGGTGGGTTAATTGGATTCATAAGCTACCGGCTACACAAAGGGTCATTAAGGCTGCATGTAACCTATAGTCAGTACACGCTAATAAATTAACCATTAGTCAGTACACGCTAACAAATTAACCTATAGTCAGTACACGCTAACAAATTAACCTATAGTCAGTACACGCTAACAAATTAACCTATAGTCAGTACACGCTAACAAATTAACCATTAGTCAGTACACGCTAACAAATTAACCTATAGTCAGTACACGCTAACAAATTAACCATTAGTCAGTACACGCTAACAAATTAACCTATAGTCAGTACACACGCTAACAAATTAACCATTAGTCAGTACACGCTAACAAATTAACCTATAGTCAGTACACGCTAACAAATTAACCATTAGTCAGTACACGCTAACAAATTAACCATTAGTCAGTACACGCTAACAAATTAACCTATAGTCAGTACACGCTAACAAATTAACCTATAGTCAGTACACGCTAACAAATTAACCTATAGTCAGTACACGCTAACAAATTAACCATTAGTCAGTACACGCTAACAAATTAACCATTAGTCAGTACACGCTAACGAATTAACCTATGATTGCTACAGGCTAACAGTTAACCTACGGTGAGCAGATGTCCTCAAGTCATCAAGAACCTGTGGGTCTTCACAAGACAACGTGTAGTTAATACAACCACGAACAACCTGTGGTAGTCCGACTGACCCAACTCATCGCTACCAAACACACCATCCTCTTCACCCAGGGATTCTCAACGTTTCCTCCATCATTTACCGCCCCCCCCCCTCCAGGCTTGATGTATTTCTACATTTACCCCCTTCCACACAAAAAAAATATCGCCATCATAAAGAGACACAAAAACAAGGTGGTCAGAAAAAATATATTATTCAGGTTTTGCACGAAAATTGCAATATACATTCGTAATTACCAAAAATAAAAAAATATATATAACATTCTTTTCTAAAGAAATAATTATACATTATCAGGTACATGTAATTTTTTACCCCCAGGGGGTAAATTTACCCCTGGTTGGGAATCATTGTCTTAACCCATCAGCCCTAAAATACACCGACCTTTCAAAAAGCATCCAGACGTTTTCATGTCGATACGTCGTTCGATGCTCTGACGAGTCGCCATCTCCAGATTGCTTCTGAAGACGTCTTCTGGCGAGCACCAAGGAACAAAGATATTTATTGCTCCAGAGAGTGGATGTGTGCCTCCGCCTCCGTGATGGAGAGTGATGGCCCTGACCAGCTCTGGTGAGACGTCGATCCTTGTAGTCTCTGATTCACTCCCGTGGTTCAGCCTCCCTTGTCTTCTTTCATTCTTTGGCGTCCTACAAAAAATTAATTTTTTTCATGATTCACGCAATCGTAAGACGACTACTGCAAAGAAACCACAGAACAGGTGGGGTATGAACCCATGGCGAGTGAGTCGCAAAACTCCAGGCCAGTGCGTAAGCCACTGGGCCAGCTGGCTACAATAAGAGTCATCCATCTAGGTAAATTTATACACCATAGGAAGGTTAACATCTGTCCCACCAGCGTAGCGGGAGAGTCATCTGTAAAAACTTGCATTTGTGGTCAGAGTAGTGGCCCATGCTAACCTCCCTATGGTGTATAAATATACGTAGTTGGATAATTCTTGTAGCCAGTACCGCAGTCAATGCTCTTCACCTCCAAGACTGAGGGACTGATTACCTCATCTTTTGTATATAGTTCTACTGTCTTCCAATTATATCTCTGAATTTGTATTGATGAAGCCAGTGGTTGGCGAAACATCTACGATAAATATACCCAGATGTTGCAGATGGATCTAATTTTCATCTTGGAGAGAGAGGATGCTGGGATGTCTGCCAACTGCTGGCCTTGATGATTCTTACACTTGAGCACCGAGAGCTCCATGGTGCTTCATCAGGGTCTTACACCTGAGCACTGAGAGCTCCACTGGTGCTTCATCAGGGTCTTACACCTGAGCACTGAGAGCTCCACTGGTGCTTCATCAGGGTCTTACACCTGAGCACTGAGAGCTCCACTGGTGCTTCATCAGGGTTTTACACTTGAGCACTGAGAGATCCACTGGTGCTTCATCAGGGTCTTACACTTGAGCACTGAGAGTTCCACTGGTGCTTCATCAGGGTCTTACAATTGAGCACTGAGAGCTCCACTGGTGCTTCATCAGGGTCTTACAATTGAGCACTGAGAGCTCCACTGGTGCTTCATCAGGGTCTTACAATTGAGCACTGAGAGCTCCACTGGTGCTTCATCAGGGTCTTACACTTGAGCACTGAGAGCTCCACTGGCGCTTCATCAGGGTCTTACACTTGAGCACTGAGAGCTCCACTGGCGCTTCATCAGGGTCTTACACTTGAGCACTGAGAGCTCCACTGGTGCTTCATCAGGGTCTTACACTTGAGCACTTAAAGCTCCACCGGAGCTTCATTCTTACCCAGGCTATATCTCTGGCTCAGGTACTGCATCACCCCTCATTCTCCAGCGCGTCTGAACCACCAACCCTCGTCGTGGTATCATGCTTCCTTGGTCCTACTTTTACTGGTAGAAACGAGCCCATACGGAGACAGTGAAACAGAAGACAATCACAATAACTTTCGTCCCCACACTAGGAACCCTCTTCAGCTAACGTTACATTCCTGAAGAGGGCCCTAGAGTGGACGGAAAATGAAGGAGTCTTACATATTCTCTCTTACTGTTTCCGTGTGAGTTCGATTGTACCTCGGCAAGTATTGCTGAACATTCGAAACATTTGAGGTCCGTGGTTTGATCCCCGGTACGGGTGGAAACATAAGGATGTGTATCCTTAAGACATCTGCTGTGCCTGTTCACCTAACAATAAAATAGGTACCTGGGTGTTAGCCGACTGGTGTGGGTCGCATCCTGGGGGACATAGCTGACCTAATTTGCCCGAAATGCTCTGCATAACAAGAGGCTTTCTATATAGTAGTATGTCACTGATGTCAGCTATGGTCTATATACCTTGTACATGTACTTAAATATTATTATCATCATCAATGAATACGAACATCTGCCGTCTCTCTTTCCAATCAACATCTGACTCAACATAGATACCAACATCAGTTTCTCTTCTCCTTACCAGCACGCCATAAGAAATTATCTGGAGAACTTACGTGGAAAAGACCGCATCCTGTAGTAGGAGGGAAGACACAGCGTGATGTAAACAGCAACTGTAGCATCTTAATCACTCAAACCTGATTGAGTTGCTTGCATTGTGCAACGATGTTCGGACGCCTTGCACGCGGCTCCCCGTACATGTGTTGATTCTAAAAAGTTGTGAGAAAAGTCGGGTTCTTATCGTTCTCCGTCTTATGAACCCGACCAATAGTCTCTGCTGACCGTGAACGGACCATATCTACATGCATCTCTTAATTTGACTCACGAAATCGTAATGACACGATTGCAAACAAACCATACCACGGGTGGGGTTTGAACCTGGGGTCAGAGAGTCTCAAAACTCCAGATGGTCTGGAGTTTTGAGACTCTCTGACCGCGGGTTCAAACCCCACCCGTGGTACTTTTTTTTTTATGCATCTCTTAATGAAGAATGAGACACTTGTGCATGTTTAGTGAGGAAACGTTTCGCCATCCAGAGGCTTCATCAGGCCAGAACAGGGAAGAACGGTGGAAAATGAGGGGTAGTTTGAGGTAATCAGTCCCCTCGGCCTGGAATGGATGTGATCAGCCCACCAATCAAGTGCCTCATTCTCCAACTCTTAGTGAATCTAGGAACGTGTTAAATAGTTAATAATTAGCACACAGCACTCAGAGAAGCCCATCAGATAACCTTTTTCACTGCGATATACTTCAGGTCCTCTGATACAATAATTGGGTTATGGTGACAATTTGAATATAAAGGAGAAATTTGTGCTTTGATGGGAATTCTTACGACTGTGTTAGTGTTAAGAACTTCAAAAAATGATTTAGTGTCACGTTTTACTGAACGTTTATTTAGGGCAGAACATTCACTGAGACACGTGTGAGGACGTATGGGGACGTGTGGGGACGTGGGGGAACGTGTGGGGACGTGTGGGGATGTGGGGACGTGTGTGACGTTTCGGGGCGTGTGTGACGTTTGGGGACGTGTGTGATGTGTGGGGACTTGTGGGGACGTGTGTGACGTTTGGGGACGTGTGTGACGTGTGGGGACGTGTGGGGACGTGTAGGGACGTGTGGTTCACAAGTGGAAGACCTGGAAAAGAAGTAGTCTGAGCAGACCAGTCAGTTCCTCAGTCTTGATAAATCTGAGGTACTCATCACCTCACACTTCTTCATGTCATCTCAACAGATGAGTGATCATCTTAAACTACTGTGTTTTACACCCATCAAAACAAAGATTATATTTATTAATATATAGGTTTTATTAAACCAGAGTTAAATATTGTGGTTTTCATTACAGATTGAAGACACGAAGGTTAGGATAAAATGTATGGAACACTTGCAACACTTGGGAATCTTTGAGGGAACGTTTCGCCACACACTGGCTTCATCAGTCCAATACAGAGAAGAGTGGTGAAGATCAGAAAGAGATTGGGGTGATCAGTCCCTCAGTCTGGAGTCGATGTAATCAGTCCATCGGTCTTTTCAATGGGATCACTGAAAAGAGCCAGGATGGCACTGGAAAGAGCCAGGATGGCACTGAGAAGAGCCAGGATGGCACTGGGAAGAGCCTTGATGGAACTGAGAAGAGCCAGGATGGCAATGAGAAGAGCCAGGATGGCACTGAGAAGAGCCAAGCTGGCACTGAGTAGAAACGACCTAACCATACAGTCTACTTTAAGCCGAATGAGGCCATCAAAATGGCGGTGATGGTGAGGAATCAATGTTGGTAAGGCGATATAGTGTCCACACACACCATCAAAATGGCGGTGATGGTGAGGAATCAATGTTTGTAAGGCGTTTTATTGTCCACACACACACACACACACACACACACACACACCATCAAAATGGCGGTTATGATGTGGAATCAATGGCGGTATAGAGTCCACACACACACACACACACACACACACAACACACACACACACACACACACACACACACACACACACACACACACACACACACACACACACACGCACGCACACACACACACACCATCAAATGGCGGTTATGGTGTGGAATCAATGGCGGTATAGAGTCCACACACACACACACCACACACACACACACACACACACACACACACACACACACACACACACACACACACACACACACACACACGCACGCACACACACACACACCATCAAAATGGCGGTTATGGTGTGGAATCAATGGCGGTATAGAGTCCACACACACACACACACACACACACACACACACACACACACACACACACACACACACACACACACACACACACACACACAAACTCACACATACACAAACATCGGCTCATCAATATTCTCTTATATTTCCGCTTTTCTGCCTCCAACGATTATCTATTTCCTTTCTAAAGGCTAGTCAACACTCTTGTTACTTCCAGACTAGTCAACACTCCTGACACTTTCTTTCCAGACTAGTCAACACTCCTGACACTTTCTTTCCAGACTAGTCAACACTCCTGACACTTCTTTCCAGACTAGTCAACACTCCTGACACTTTCTTTCCAGACTAGTCAACACTCCTGACACTTTCTTTCCAGACTAGTCAACACTCCTGACACTTTCTTTCCAGACTAGTCAACATTCCTGACACTTTCTTTCCAGACTAGTCAACATTCCTGACACTTTCTTTCCCATATTTACTCTGTTTCTCATCTTCCACAGACTCCTCTGCTGCCTCAATATATATTCCACTTTATCCCTGCTTCTTCCTTCCATTCTTACTTTTCAAGTTTTCCTTCGCTATGCTTCTACTCACTCTCTTTATCTATCAACTTTCCTCTCTGTCGCCCATCCTTCCAAACTCCTCCACCAACTTTTTCTTGTAAGTCTCCCAAAATCACGGCGTCATCTACAAACAGCAACTGTGACTCCCTCAGCTTCGTTGCATTTACATTATCTCTCTTATGATTAAATTGCTTGCTACTACTCTGGCATTCACTTTTTTTTATAAAACATACACACACACACACACACACACAGGACAGAAGGGTCAGGGGAGACATGATAACGACATACAAGATACTGCGGGGAATAGACAAGGTGGACAGAGATAGGATGTTCCAGAGAGGGGACACAGGGACAAGGGGTCACAACTGGAAGCTGAAGACTCAGATGAGTCACAGGGACGTTAGGAAGTATTTCTTCAGTCATAGAGTTGTCAGCAAGTGGAATAGCCTAGCAAGTGAAGTAGTGGAGGCAGGAACCATACATAGTTTTAAGAAGAGGTATGACAAAGCTCAGGAAGCAGAGAGAGAGAGGACCCAGTAGCGATCAGTGAAGAGGCGGGGCCAGGAGCTGAGTCTCGACCCCTGCAACCACAATTAGGTGAGTACAATTAGGTGAGTACACACACACACACACACACACACACACACACACACACACACACACACACACACACACACACAACAAAACACACACACACCAAACACACACACACCCCACACACACCACACACACACACACACACACACACACACACCCCACACACAAAGAGCAGCAAAGTGTAATGAACTTAGGAAAATCTGAAGAGGTCAACAGGATACGTTTCGCCCACTGCTGTGGGCGAAACGTAGTCAATAAATTATCCCATTATACTGCATCTGTCTTTATTTTTCCATCGTGTCGGCATTTTGCACCATTTATCTCCACACCATTTTCCATTTTCTTAACATGCAAATTAATTTTTTTCCGCCCTTCCCTGGTAATCACCAAGAGTCGTCTTCTACCCTGCAGAGACCTGCGTTGTCTCCGAAACACCATCCACACCAACCTCCTCTTCACCTACCTCTTCCATAACTTCTGCTGGATTGTCTACGCTTTTGTTCAGGTAAGATTTTTTTTTTTTAATGTCACCCACTCCCACCCCATCAAAAAAATGTATATTAAAAAATCCCAATAAAATATGTATGTGTGTATAAACCCACAAAAATTTTAGATCCGTTAAAAACTCGTAAGATTAAATGTTCTCCATCAAATACCCTCCTAATACCCTCCATCAAATACCCGTCATTAAACACCCTCCATCAAACACCCATCCATACACACCTACCATCAAATTTCCCACCATTCAAATACCCACCATCAAACACCCACCATCAAACACCTACCATCAAAACCCACTTTTAAACACCCACCATCAAACACCATCCATCAACAGCATAATCACACCCACCATCAAATAACCCACCATCAAAACCCACCATCAAACAACCTCCATCAAACACCACCATCAACACCACCATCAAAACCACTATCAAACACCACCATCAAACACCACCATCAAATCCCACCATCAAAAACCCATCAATAACACATACCATCAAACACCACCATCAAATACCCACCATACAAATCACCCACCATCAAATACCATCAAACCACCATCAAACAACACTCCAACAACCCACCTACACAATAACCCCACCACAAAATCCTCATCAAACACCCACCATCAAACACACCACCATCAAACGACCACATCAAACATTCTCCATCAACCCATCACAAACACCCCCATCAAACACCCACCATCAAACAAACTACCATCAAACACCCACCATCAAACTAACCTAACCACCATCAAATACCCACCTCAAACACCTAACATCAAACACCCAAACCCTCCATCAAACACCCCATCAAACACCCACCATCAAACACCCACCATCAAACACCCACCATCAAATACCCACCATCAAACACCTACCATAAACACCCCCCTTTCAAACCCACCATCAAACACACTCCATCAAACACCCACCATCAAATACCACATCAAACACCCACATCAAACCCCTCCATCAAACACCCTACCTCAAACACCCACTATCAAACACCTACCATCAAACCAACCATCAAACACCCACCATCAAACACCACCATCAAACACCCCATCAAATCCCACCATCAACACCCACCATCAAACACCTCCAAATCAAACACCTCCATCAACACCACCACAACACCTACCACAACACCCACCATCAAACACCTCAACACCCTCATCATACCCACCTCAAACACCACATCAAACACCCCTACAAACACCCCCCATCAAACACCCACCATCAAACACCCACTATCAAACACCCATCATCAAACACCCACCATCAAACACCTCCATCAAACACCACCATCAAACACCCACAATCAAACACCACCATCAAACACCTACCATCAAACACCCCCATCAAACACCCACCATCAACACCTACCATCAAACACCCACCATCAAACACCAACACAACACCCCATCAAACACCCACCATCAAACACCCCACCATCAAACACCCACCATCAACCCCTCCATCAAACACCCACCATCAAACACCCACCATCAAACATCCACCATCAAACACCCACCATCAAACACCCACCATCAAACACCCACCATCAAACACCTCAAACCCCACCATCAAACACCCTCCTTTAAACACCCCCATCAAACACCCTCCATCAAACACCCACCATCAAATACCCTCCATGAAACACCCAAATATCAAACACCCTCAAGCAAACACCCTCCATCAAACACCCTCCATCAAACACCCTCCCATCAAACTCCTTCCATCAAACACCCTCCATCAAACACCCTCCATCAAACACCCTCCATCGAACACCCCCATCAAACACCCTCCATCAAACACCCTCCATCAAACACCCACCATCAAACACCCACCATCAAACACCCTCCATCAAACACCCTCCATCAAACACCCTCCATCAAACACCCTCCATCAAACACCCTCCATCAAACACCCTCCATCAAACACCCACCATCAAACCCTCCATCAAACACCCACCATCAAACACCCACCATCAAACACCCTCCATCAAACACCCTCCATCAAACACCGTCCATCAAACACCTCATCAAACACCCTCCATCAAACACCCTCCATCAAAACACCCACCATCAAACACCCTCCATCAAACACCCTCCATCAACACCCACCATCAAACACCCACCATCAAACACCCTCCATCAACACACCCTCCATCAAACACCCACCATCAAACACCCTCCATCAAACACCCTACCATCAAACACCACCAAACACCCTCCATAAAACAACCATCAAACACCCTCCATCAAACACCCACCATCAAACACCCACCATCAACACCCTCCATCAAACACCCACCCATCAAACACCCACCATCAAACACCCACCATCAAACACCCTCCATCAAACACCCTCCATCAAACACCCTCCATCAAACACCCTCCATCAACTCCTCGATGCTTGCTTCCTTCACTTGAGTTACGTGATTGAGTTCACCCAGACTTGAAATATCCCATTCAGTACAGTCTAAAATTTCCCGCCACCGTGGATAAGACCCGCGTCAGGGCACACTTGTTCTGTTTCCTGACCAACCTGACCTAACCTAACCTGTGGATATATTCTGAAGAGTATAACCTGTGGATATATTCTGAAGAGTATAACCTGTGGATATATTCTGAAGAGTATAACCATGAATAGATTCTGAAGGTTAACCAGGATATTCTGAAGGTATAGTCGTAGATATATTCAGAGTAAACTATGGTTAATTGAAATTAACCCTAGGGAATATTCTGAAGAGTATAACCTGGGGAATTTTCTGAGAGTATAACCTGGATATATCTGACGAGTATAACCTATGGATATATCTGAAGAGTAACCTGTGGATATATTCTGAAGAGTATAACCTGTGGATATATTCTGAAGAGTATAACCTATGGATATATTCTGAAGAGTATAACCTATGGATATATTCTGAAGAGTATAGTCTGTAGATATATTCTGAAGAGTATAACCTATGGATATATTCTGAAGAGATAACTTGGATTATTTAAGAGTATAACCTATGGATATATTCTGAAGAGTATAACCTATGGATATATTCTGAAGAGTATAACCTATGGATATATTCTGAAGAGTATAACCTATGGATATATTCTGAAGAGTATAACCTATGGATATATTCTGAAGAGTATAACCTGTGGATATATTCTGAAGAGTATAACCTGTGGATATATTCTGAAGAGTATAACCTGTGAATATATCCTGAAGAGTATAACCTATGGATATTTTGAAGATAGCGTAGATATATTCTGAAGAGTATAACCTGTGGATATATTCTGAAGAGTATATTTTTCCTCGATGTGTATAACTTAAGAGGATCGATGTATACAAGAAGACGGATGTATATCTTGATATATACATCCAAGAGTATTAACGTATACTTCACTAGTCGTGTATAGGTGACTGACAGCCTTAATGACCCTCGTGTAGTCGATAGAATTGAAACGCAATCAAACAACCAGATTCTTTTTCCTCAGATTTACTACCTCGCAGATTTACCTATGACGCTACAGATTTACAATTATTTACCGGGTTATGCATTTTCATTTTTTACAGATTTAAGGCCAAATACGTTTATTTCCCCATGATATATTTACACCCATAAAGTTCAAATTTCTCATAGATTTAGAGGCCTAGTCAATGTACCGTCTCGGTAGTAGATTTAGAGGCCTAGTCACTGTACCGTCTCAGTAGTAGATTTAGAGGCCTAGTCACTGTACCGTCTCAGTAGTAGATTTAGAAGCCTAGTCAATGTACCGTCTCGGTAGTAGATTTAGAGGCCTAGTCACTGTACCGTCTCAGTAGTAGATTTAGAGGCCTAGTCACCGTACCGTCTCAGTAGTAGATTTAGAGGCCTAGTCAATGTACCGTCTCGGTAGTAATTTAGAGGCCTAGTCCTGTACCGTCTCAGTAGTAGATTTAGAGGCCTAGTCACTGTACCGTCTCAGTAGTAGATTTAGAGGCCTAGTCACTGTACCGTCTCGGTAGTAGATTTAGAGGCCTAGTCACTGTACCGTCTCAGTAGTAGATTTAGAGGCCTAGTCACTGTACCGTCTCAGTAGTAGATTTAGAAGCCTAGTCACTGTACCGTCTCGGTAGTAGATTTAGAGGCCTAGTCACTGTACCGTCTCAGTAGTAGATTTAGAGGCCTAGTCACTGTACCGTCTCAGTAGTAGATTTAGAAGCCTAGTCACTGTACCGTCTCAGTAATAGATTTAGAGGCCTAGTCACTGTACCGTCTCAGTAGTAGATTTAGAGGCCTAGTCACTGTACCGTCTCAGTAGTAGATTTAGAGGCCTAGTCACCGTACCGTCTCAGTAGTAGATTTAGAGGCCTAGTCAATGTACCGTCTCAGTAGTAGATTTAGAGGCCTAGTCACTGTACCGTCTCAGTTGTAGATTTAGAGGCCTAGTCAAAGTACCGTCTCAGTAGTAGATTTAGAGGTCTAGTCAATGTACCGTCTCGGTAGTAGATTTAGAGGCCTAGTCACTGTACCGTCTCGGTAGTAGATTTAGAGGCCTAGTCAATGTACCGTCTCAGTAGTAGATTTAGAGGCCTAGTCAATGTACTGTCTCGGTAGTAGATTTAGAGGCCTAGTCAAAGTACCGTCTCAGTAGTAGATTTAGAGGCCTAGTCACTGTACCGTCTCGGTAGTAGATTTAGAGGCCTAGTCAAAGTACCGTCTCAGTAGTAGATTTAGAGGCCTAGTCAAAGTACCGTCTCAGTAGTAGATTTAGAGGTCTAGTCAATGTACCGTCTCGGTAGTAGATTTAGAGGCCTAGTCACTGTACCGTCTCGGTAGTAGATTTAGAGGCCTAGTCAATGTACCGTCTCAGTAGTAGATTTAGAGGCCTAGTCAATGTACCGTCTCGGTAGTAGATTTAGAGGCCTAGTCAATGTACCGTCTCAGTAGTAGATTTAGAGGCCTAGTCACTGTACTGTCTCAGTAGTAGATTTAGAGGCCTAGTCACTGTACCGTCTC